GTTTTCTACCTTGATTCGTTTGGTTATTTTTTTTATTAAACTCATACAACAGGCCTGGACAGAAATGATGGGACCCTTAACTTAATATTTTGTTGCACAACTTTTTGAGGCGATCACTGCGATCAAATGATTCCTGTGACGGTGAGACTTCTGCTCCTCTCAGGAGGTGTTTTGGTCCACTCCTCCTGAGCAAACTGCTCCAGTTGTGCAGACAACRTGTTTCAGCTCCTTCCAAAGGTGCTCAGCAGGATTTAGGTGATTTTAGCTGTTTTGGGTCATTATCCTGTTGAAGAGCCATGACCTGTGACTGAGACCAAGCTTTCTGACACTGGGCAGATCATTTCTCTCTGCAATCCTTGATATTCTTGACATTTTGTTGCACCCTGCACAGATTTAAGACACTGTGTCAGGTGCAGCAAAGCAGCCCCAGACARTRACAGAAMCTCCATGTTTCACAGTAGAGACAGTGTTTTCTTCRTATGCTTCATTTTTCCCWCTGTGAACACAGAGCTGATGTGTCTTGCCAAAAAGTTTGATTTTTGTCTCACCTGTCCAGAGGACATTGTCCCAGAAGCCTTGTGGCTTGTCAACATGAAGTTTGGCAAATTCCAGTCTGGCTTTTTTATGATTTGGTGTTCTCCTTGGTCGTCTCCCATTAAGTCCATTTTGACTCAAACAATGAYGGAWGATGTGACTTTAGCTATGTTTACATGCACAAAATGTTTTGATCGGATTGAAATGTATTCAGATTAAATAATCCGAATGTACTRTTTACATGGACACAATCCCATCATGAAAAGTGTTTACATGTCTGGACTTTTACAAACATAAACAAAGCTCCTCTGTGCGCTCAGGACGGACCCGTGTCAGCTTTTAATAACGGTAGAGACGCCGTTACTCCTCGGTTGAGCTGCAGTGATTTTTATTTTTATTTTTTGCAAAGCAACGTCTTTTTTCATCTGTTAAGAGAGCGAGGAAGAAAAGTTCTGCACGGCGCAGCGCAGCTGGAGCACTGCTGTCCCACCGCCTCTAAATAAAAAATAATAAAAGAGCAGAACCGGGTGGAAGAAAGTCAGCAGACATGCACTCATGTCAGTTTTCTACAATCAGAATAAGATGATCCATGAACCTCATTCAGATTATTAATCGTCATAACCCACCCCTCTCATTCGGATTAAAAATTCATTCGGATCGAGCTCAATCAGATCAGAATAATTGGAACGGGCTGTTTACATAATGCATTTTTATTCTGAACGGCCGTTTAATCCGATTACTTATGTCCATGTAAACGTAGCTAATGACACTGATGTTCCTTGAGCTTGAAGTTCACCTTTAATCTCTTTAAACTCTAAAAGTTTTTGTTGTTACCATTCATATTAGCCTTCTCTTTGATTTGTCATCAATTTTCCTCATGAGGCCACGTCCAGGGAGGTTGGCTACAGGCCCATGGATCTTACATTTCTGAATAATCTGCGCAGCTGTAGTCACAGGAACATCAAGCTGCTTGGATATGGTCTTATAACCTTTACCTTTAACATTCTTGTCTATTATTTTCTTTCTAATCTCCTGAGACAACTCTTTCCCTCTCTTCCTCTGGTCCATGTTGAGTGTGATCCACAGCATGTCACCAAACAGCACAGTGAGTATCTGTAGGTCTATACAGGTGCTGGTCATAAAATTAGAATATCATGAAAAAGTAGATTTATTTTAGTAATTCCATTTAAAAAGTGAAACTTGTATATTATATTCATACATTACATACAAACTCATATACAGTGGTTTGCAAAAGTATTCATACCCCTTGAAC